TCGAACCGCCGAAGCGTCAGCCATTTCTGGCCGGCAACTTTCGGCGTCATTAAGCCGCTGCGCCACCGCGTCCCCATTAAATTATTAATAATGAACTATGATTGGTAAGTTCTGACTTAGGGCAAAGTATGGGTGGTAAGTTTCTTTTGAAGACAGGTAAATCCATAACTGTTAACTGTAAGGGTATGTGGGAATGACCTTGGGAGACAGGAAGAGTAGGCAAAGGTCAGATAAGAGGCAGCTGAGTCCACAGAAGAAATGGAGATGCGGCGAACATCTCAGAAAGGGCCCTCCCTAGTTTCTTGGACTGAAAAGGCAAGCGGGGAGAGATGTATTTTCAGACTTGCAAGATTCTGTTAATCTAACCTTACAATAAAGATAGAGCTAGTACTCCCTGGTGTGCTTCTCATCTGGACTATCTCACAAGGCTGACGTAAACATACACAAGAGCTTCAAAGGAACATGTTGCACAAAAATGACAGACCCAAGCAAAGCACATAGACACAACACATAATACTGATAACAGAAGTCAGTAATTCATGCCAAGACCAATCTAGCACCTTACCTGTAGAATCTCTGAACATCCAACTGTTCCTGTCATTCTCTAACAGAGTACCTCCTGCTCGGGTGATTGGGGCCCGATGACCCCGCTTGCGACCCAAATTTGCACGGTCACGGTGTGCAGTATTATCGAGAATTTCTGTATCCTGAAAGGATATAGAAGTCAGAACACCATATATTCTTAATATAATGTTATTTAGGACCTACTTACTAAATTACTACTATTATCCCAACTCCCACATTGCTGCAGCAGTGTTACCATAGATCCTTCTTATCTTTCAAGTGCCATCGCAGGAACATCCCTGGTAGTACTTACCTCCAAGAAGATGAAATGTTCTTTTGTCAATGCTCCAGCCCCCTCTGAAGTATAATCATCCTGGGAAATAGGTTGCGTGGCTTGACTTCTGTTTTGCTTTACAGGCAGCTGACTCCCATTTCCACTATTCAACTGGCTGTCCTCACCATCAATATCAGACAAAACCTCTCCTACATCCTCCAATGGGAATGGAGATGGCCTGATCTTTTCAGCTGCTGGCACCAGCTCACTGGGCAAGTCACTCAGCCTCCTCTCCTCTTCTGAATGGCAGCTATGGAAGGAGGCAGGCCTCTTCTGCTGGACTTCTGGTCTGTTGGCACTACTGGAAACCATTCCTTCCAGCAGGCAGCTGGGACTGGACAGGCGCTGAGTACGGCATTTTCTGCTTCAGTTTGAGATGAAGAGACAAAGTAGAATTCTTAACAGGGTTTCACCATTTTATCAGTTTGCTGTACTTGCTTCTCTGCCACCAGTGTGTCCCCAGTTCAGCTACTCCCTTTTAAAAAACTTTTCTCACTGTATGAGAGTAATAAAAATGTATGAAGGGCTGGGCTGTACAGTCAAAGGGAGAGTGAGGACTTTCCAGATATAATAAAGAGATATGGAGAAGTGGACAAGATTCAAGAGAGGATTCAAACGTACTCTCATCAATAAAAAAGCAGCATAAACATATTGGATATGAATCATTATAAAAAACACAAAACCTCTATGAGGCTGTACCACTTCAAAATGCAGGTAAGATTCACCAGATCCAAGACAACTAAATATTACACAGAAGGCAGATGAAAAGAAAAATGTGTACTGCATCGTTAATCTCAAACGAAATATAATAGGTAGTGATTTCAGAAGTGTGACTTCCACAGTGAACTGTAACTACAACACCAATCCCCTTGATGCATAGTTTGTAACCGACTAGCTTGCAAGATGCTGGCTTAAAGCCATCTTGACTTTTTTTCCCCAGGACAGCCAAACCATAGACACCTCTGAAACATACACAAAATTGTAAGTCCTCACTCTATTGAATGGGGCTGCAACCCTAAACTCTTTAACTTCACTGGGCTCCCAAACAGCCATGTGCTACAAGAACCATTTGTTTAATGGTGATAGCATTTCATGCTATCAGAGTTTCATTTAATATTCAGCCCCATTCTAGGTGAGGAGAAGGTGAAAATAACAATGGTTAGGGAATGCTGTACTGAAATAAAGGTCAGAGTTCAGGAAGCCCTAATTATGTAGTTAGAATAAAGTTTGCAAAACAGATGCATGTCTATACTTTATGTTGACTATGGAGTTTAGAATTTTTTACAGTACTCAGATGCTTTGGTTGGATGGCGAACGGAAGGCAAGCTGCACAAATAAAATGAAAAGGTGGAGAAATAAAAGACAAGGATTTTTTTTTTTCAGAGAAGTATTTACGCTGAATAAACTACTATCACCTTTAACTATGGAAAGGCTCTGAATCTTTCTGAGGATTTTAGAGGCTTTGCCCAAACAAATACCAAGAAAGAGATTATCAGCATGCACAGCTATTTCAGGCAACGGTCCATTTTTTAGCATTTGCTACTTTAGGTTGACAGTCTTTGGTTTCTTACCTGAATGTATAGAATCAGTTCAAAAATCCGTTGTGTAGCTAGAATATAGAATCACTGCAACTAAATTGCAAGGAAGTTTTGGTTTGGAAGCAAACGGTACACAAGAGGAGCCAAGAGCAATGAAATGGGGCTCTGCAGCATGTCAGCTTCAATCCCACGCTCCAAAGCACCTTTCTGGAATCAAATACAAAGCACTGCACAGCTCCACAATGACGGATGCGCGTGACCTCACAAAAAGGAGCCATATCCCTCTTCGCCAAAATTTCCTCGGTGACCTCAGGACAGTCATCTCTCACCTTAATATACCTCAAAAGGCTGATGCACGGATGAAAGAGGATGAATCCCATGTACCCCTTATACCAGTGTTGTCCAAACTTGGCCACTTTACGATGAGTGGACTTCAACTCCCAGAATTCCCCA